ACACCATTCAAATGAAACAATCAAATCCGTAAAATTCTTTTAATTTGACATTTTTAGATTTTCTTTTAAACATAATTTTGAAATTAGACTCCTTTGGTTGAAATCTTCATTCAACTTGACTATCATTGAGGATTTGATTGTTTGATTTGAACCCTATCTTACATCTTGTTTGTGAACAATCAGACTTAATACTAACACATGATTGAGCATATAAGCTTGTCAACCTTGTTGTACTTACAGAGTATCATGTTCATAGATTATATCATTTGATTTTATTTACACATACTTTGAAACTTAATTTTAAAAAATAGGCCCCGCTAGTTGAATTTTTTTTTTATAAACGGGGTCATCATGAGAGAGTTTGGCCATTTGAAAGATTTTTGTTTGAAATTTATTTGAAATTTATTAATTTTAGATCTTTAATATATTAGTCTTATCAACCCTAGTCTTTATGAGGATGATGATCACACTAGAAGATTTGGACTCACAAATTTTATTTTTGTGGTTAGGATGTTATTGAAATTACTAAATTTGTCGACACCTATGCTCAAGAGAAGGTGAATCAGACTAGTTGAGCGAGACTTATGTCACTACTATATAGGCAAGGAATCCTATGTGGATTTATAAATTTAAGATTGTGATCACATTTCAACATACCCATAATTATGCATTTATATGAACATTGGCACATATATGTGATCATAGTATTGATTTCATTCAAGGTTTTCTAGCATGATGCTTGATGCATTTGCCAAGGAGCAATTACATAATATCTTATGTTACTAAAATGCACAATATGACATCTTAAGCATTCATAAACTACAAATGCACATTTTAAAATACTCACACATCATTTGAGGAAGAATATTAGAGTTAAAAAATCTATGAAGCATAATTGCAAGATTTTAAAATTTATTTAAAATTTAAATTGCATCTATTGATTGCACACAAAGTTTCATTTTGTGTATTAAAAGGAACTATCTTTTATTCACTAGCAGTTGCATTACAAATCCGATGGTGAAATTGGAATGAAATCTTTATTTTGACATTTGAAAATGACATTTATGTAACATATACCCAGTCTATTATATTTCGTATTTAAGGCATTTTGCAAGTTCAATAATCGATTTTTTGGAATTATTTCGCAAGTCAATATAGTTCGTACTTTAAATTATTTTGCAAATTCAAAATGTCTGAATTTTGAATTATTTTTCAAGTTCAAAATATTCACATTTTTGTATTATTTTGCAAGTTCAAAATGCTCGCATTGTAAATCATTTTATTGGTGCAAATTATCCAAACCTATAAGTCATTTGTAAGACCAAATAAGTTCGAATAGTTCAATTTTAAGCAATTTTACAAGTACAAAAAAAAACCACATCTTAACTTATTTGCAAAATTCCAAATTCACCTAAATTTTTGGAAGCCTCCCGGCGTCTACTTTCGTTAGAGGGCTTTAAGGAGAGTGACAGGCTGTCCAACTGTCTTAAAAATCTTCCTGGTCAGTGTCGTAAGACACTGAAGCTGGGAGACGAAATAGTCTTCGTAACCTACCATACTTGAGACTCGTTTGACATTTAATGAACTTGCAAAAGGTCAAATCACAAGCATGTATTTCCTCAAATATGTACATAACTTTTCCTGAGCAAAACTTAATCATTTGGACATGTACTCGATTTTCCCATGGTGGGTACTTTAAACTTTCCTTGTTTTTTAATAAAAAAAATTTCTGAACTAATACTAAATTTTTCCTGAATAGATAATAGAATTTCTTCAAATGAGTTTTTTCAAGATTGGCCCCTTTCCCCCTATTTATACCCTTTTTAGTGAATTAGTGTAGTTTTTTTCGTTCTTTTTCCCTTTTTTTTCCTTTAGAAGTAACAAGTTTGTCTATTGTCATATAATTCTAATTTTTTAGTAAATATCTCTTCCAGATCATCGAACATATGGATGATCTGGAGAAAAGAGGAATCAGAAGATAAGAACATAAGATAATGAATAAAATAAGAGAAAGAACAATGAGAACTTTCATCAAGTAAACATCCCATGATAGCGAGAAGAGCTTAGCGACACCTGCAGAAAAGAATTAGTCATCCAAATCATTAATTGCTCCTTCCTGTTACATGTATATGTGTGTGTTTTAGGCAGAAATCCCTGCAGGAAAGTCACCCCTAACATACTAGTGTGCACATCTCACACCGAATAAAAACACAAAAGTAGCACCAAGTGATGCCTGAGTAGGGCAACCAGACCAGTAGAGAACTATAGTCATGACATCGACAAAGATTACCTGACATACTGGTCCTTAGCCTAGCATGTCATCTAACGCATAGTGTCCTACAACAACATCTAAGTGAATACAGGGTTAAGTCAAAAAAGTTGGTGTATGTTCTTAAGAGGTCTTCATCTCCGTTCGCATCCTAAATATCCAAGAATTCTAAGAGGTGTCACTAGATGCAGGTTTTACAGAAAACTTTTAAAAAGGTTGACCTCATATATGGTCTAAGCTAAATATGCAAGTAATTTCAAAGTAGATTTTTGAAAATATAATGCATATGTAATAAAAATATAAATTTTATACTTTAAAATAGATCAAAGCCTAAATGACACATATTAGACCACTTGGAACCTTAACATAACATACACGTGTTGGTCCACGATGCGATAGCTAGTATTGCCCACCGAGACATCCTCGAGGGCAATACTAGTTGTCGAGTCGTAACCAACAGAGAGTCACTTGGCTAAAGAGCTAGTTTTGTCGTCGAGAGTATCAGAGGACACATGCAAATGCAACATGACCCAGTGTATTGTGATTGTGTAGGGAATTGCCACGAGATATCAAACATTCATCACTATTATACGGTGGCATATACCAAAGATAAATGCACCGACAATGCAGTAATGTGAATGCAAAACATACAATACAAATGAGTGTGCGTGTGTCGAAGAGGCAGTAACTTGAAAGTGAGTGTGCCGAGGAGACAGTGACTCGGAATTGAATGTGTGAGGAGCAGTGCCTCGGGATGCCTATGACAGTGTAAGGCGGCGTCGTAAAAGGAAATGATGCAATTCTCGTTAGGGGAGAATCACACCATGGGTACACTTGGTGTGCAAGTCGTCCACGAGGGGGACACGAGAGTGTCGAAGGATGAGTGTACAAGAGCAGTGACTCGAGTGCAAACCACAAACATACAACATGCTATGCAAGCAAACATGCATGGGTGCACAAGTGTAAGTGCGAACACGTAGGGGGTGGGGGGGATAGGGCATAGACCCACCACGAGCGTGCAAGGGCATATGCTCGCAAGTGTACAAAGGGGTGTAGGAGAAAATGTGTTAATGCAAACAGTATGAAACAGACATGCAAGAATGCAATAGTCAAATGGAGTCGATCGAGTCGATCGGGTTGGTGGCGACCGATCGGTTGAGTCGACGGAAGTGATCGATCAGGCCGATGTGGGCAGCCAATTGATGGAGAAGGGTCGGTCGAAACAATCAGACCAGTGTTTGTTGATCGGTCGAGTCGATGAAAGTATTCGTTTGGACGGTGCGGGCGGCCGATCGACGGGGAAGGATCGGTCGAAACGATCGGATCGTTGATAGTCGATTGGTCGAGCCGACAAAAGTGTTCAATCAAACCGACGTAGGTATTCGAACAATGAGAAAATGCTAGATCATGCCAGAGCGCCCGATCAACGAAAATGGGTCGGTCAAGGCAATCAGGCTGGTGATGACGGATTGGTTGAGTATACGGAAGTGATCAATCGAACCTACGTTGGAAGTCAGTCGATGAGGGACGGTAGATCAAGCCGAGCCGGCCGATCGACGACGAAAAGTCGGGCGAGGTGATCGAGATGGAGGCGGGCAATCAGTTGAGCTGACAGAGACATGCACAAAAAGTGATATTCTTAATGCACATTTAAAAATAGATGTTAAACGAGCCAATGCAAATACAAACACATGCATGAAATGAAAATCTGATTAATTTGAATATGGAGCCGAGCTCATCCTAATGATCTCATGGTATCTTAAGGTAAACGAGCGATGGAGAGGTGTACCAACGCCCACCTCTGTTTGCACAACACAAGGCGGGGAATCTCTCGCAAAGAGGATTCTCTACGACCGAGAGGGTGAAGACCAAAGGAATGTCTAATGAAACCACTGATACAAACAGCGGGATTGGTACAACCCCGTTTTCTGATTTTTAGTCTAGAAACGAAAATGGTAGGTTCTGCTCTATGGATTTGGAGGGAAAACACAAAGCTTTTAATCCTATGGGATTTTCTCTGAGCGCACAAAAATCTTACCCTAAATCCTCTAACATCCAAACCTATGGGCTCTAAAAAGGAAATTGCAAGCGTTTACAAGATTTCTCACCACCACGAAGGTTGAGGACTTGTTTTCTGGGCTTGTCCGAGCTCCAGCGAAGTTCCGGCAAGGTTTGCAGCTTCTTCTCCAAAGAATGAAGCTCTCCTCTAGGAGGAGAGGCCGATAAAACTCCGAACAAATACTAAACTTTTCTTGACATGTAATCAAATTTCTTCGAACGGGTACCTTAAAAAAATTTTCTTTTTCCCCCAATTTATATATTTTCAAGTGACTCAGTGAAGTCAATGAAATGAAAACAAAAGTATAATTTTCTTGATCTCATCTTGAGTTTAGTGATATAGGAAAACTAGTTTTGGGCTAGTTATTTGAATCAGGCTTAAGACGGCAGAGAGTTAGGGATTATAAATATTAGGTATCGGATTAGTGAATTAGGCTAGAATAGAAAGATGCTCGAATGAGAGGAGAATATGTGTGGCTTCTGCCTAAAAATAAACAGAGAAAGGAGACTTGAATTCTGCTATTCTCAACAAATTTAAAATGATGAGTAATCATATAACATGTTTGTCAACTTGAACTTGACCTTAATCAAGTCAACTTTTGAATAAACACAAAAAATTACACAACATACATACGTACATATATATATATATATATATATCTTTTGTTCCAAGTACAAACCACAAGAAATCCAATACTCACTTGAAAAGAATTAATGTTGCTCTTCACCTTCGCTGGAAATTCAATGACCGGATGCAGAAAACAAATACAAAAGCAAAAAAAACAGAGAAGCTCACTAATACCACACCCACAACACCCATGAAGTCTCTATCATAACCAAAATGCTCCTTCACATACAGTTTAATTGGTTGGTCGGCCTGCCCCGGCACCGGGATTAATGCATCCACATCACCAAATTGGCTCACAATTAGCCCGTAAACTGTCCATGCTAACGGGCAAATCCAGTAATACCAAATCCACCCCTTTGCAATCATCTGCAAATTCAATAGTTACTTAGCATGAGCTTGTAAACACAAGGAGGCCTATAAGATGATTTATGAGAACAAACTTACTGGTTTGGGAATGTAAAAGCCTGAGAAAAGAGAGAATATTGAGACAAAAGAAGATGAAATGATGGCGGCCACTTGATGATTAGGCGAAATTGACACGGTCATCATCCCATAGTAGGTGAAGTACAAATACGTGGAGAAAGTGATAAAAAAGAACCAAAAGAACTTCTCTGCAGACCATTCAAAACTCATCATTGAGTATGCTACAGCTGTGAACTGCAAGCTCTGGAAGAGTACATATGGGATTTCTACAACCACCTGTATCAAGGCAATGTTGTGTAAATTTTCTATTTTCTCAAAATATGTAGAATTTGTACGTTTCAACAAATAATTATTTTGTGACAAAAGAATGTATAAAAGGGTTTTGACGCACATTAGCTATGGCGTATGGTATAACAGAGTACATTGATGCTCCTCTCTCGCGATAAAATACGGTTCTCTCAGTCGAAACAACTGGTTGTACAGTTGAGCAATTAGTGATACCAATAAACTGTGATGATATAATCATGGAACCAATAGTGATTCTAAGATCATCTGCATCATCTCTGAGTTACAAAAGAGAGAAAAAAAAATATAATGTTCAGAATTTGTAGAGAATCAGCTAAACATAATGAGTGAAGCATCAAGATAAAAGCACCTTTTTTGGCCAATCTTCCAAAACATGCTACCCAGAAATAGAGAAGTTACAAAGGTGAAAAAGAGTCTGACAAAATTGTAGTGAGGACTTCTCCAATAGGTCCACCAATGCTTCCAGATGCAAGTTCTAAATTGAGTGTAAATAGTTTGAGAGTAATTCGAGGGGAAGTAAAGGTCCTCGGATTCCGGGGCTGGTTTGCTTAGCGCAATAACAAGTTCCCTATTTAGCCTATATGAATGAAATGAGACAAAAAATAATGTGAGTTCATTGTGGATTGATAGGCCAAAATTTGGGATTAAAAGGGAATAAAATCCAAAATAGTCTCCTGACTATTTGGATGTGGTTAATTTAATCCCAAAGTTTTGCAGTGACCAAATTAGGCCCTCGAATCTTAAAAATTTATCCCAATTAATCTCTTCTATAGAAAGTATGACAAAAAAAGTTTTGAATATTATATAAAATTGATCTCAATCCTGAAGGACCAGGACAAAATTTCAATAGTCGAGAATTGCATTAGATCACTGTAAAACTTTGAGAATAAATTGATCACATCCGAATGGTAGGGGTACAATTTTGGAATTTAACCTGGATTAAAAACACAAATAAACACTAGGCTATAATAAGAATAATGCTTGTCCTAAAAAGATTTATAATTTTTTTTTAAATTTTTTTGAACTCTACCTCAAATAGATACAAGATACTATTTAACTATTTGAGATTTAAAATTCAGGTATGCTACATGGCATGCATGACTGTGAATGAATGAAGAAGTGAAAAACTAAAAAAAACACCTCAAATGGATATGACAAGCATAAAAGTAAGGACTTGATTTTTCTTACTGATACGAATTTGATGATCGATAGTACTCAGCAAAATCAATCTTTTGATGATCTTTAGTTGCATTTGATGTTATGGCCAGCATCCAAGTCGCTGGATTTTCTTTTTCCTTTATTTTTGGAACAGCATGAATTGCCTAATATTTGCAGATTAACAATCCTTTATTGTTTTTTTCCTTTGCATATTAGGTATGGCCGTAATTGCAATAAATAGATAGCAAATATTATTTTTCAAAAGAAAAGATATAGACTGAGAACGTGACCTCAAAATATTCAATCAACTTTTGAGAGTTTCGACCAAGAGGACCAGAGTATAAGACTTGTCCTCTTTTCAACAACAAAAGCTGCACAAGGCGTCAAGTTAGTAACAATGAAAGTGCATGAGCAAATTTGTGTATATTATCTAATTTATTTGCAAGAAAAAGTATGCAATGTGCATTTATTACCTCATCAAATGATTCAAAAATGTCAATACTTGGTTGATGTATGGTACAGACTATTGTTCGTCCAGTGCCAACTATATTTCTCACAGTTCTCATGACAATGGCTGCAGCTTTTGCATCCAAACCTGTTGTTGGTTCATCCATGAAGATGACTGATGGATTCGCAACGAGTTCTACAGCTATTGTTAACCTTTTTCTTTGTTCTGTAGACAGACCCGAAACATCAGGGAGGCCAACTATGGCATCTTTCAGATTGGTGAGCTCCACCAGCTCCATCACCTCATCTATGAATTTCTGTACATGATAAATATAAACCTTATCTAAAAATATATATTGTCAATATAAATATCATTAGAAGAGGAACTTACTCTACATCCAAATGATTTCAAGTATCAAATTTTAACCATTAAAAATGCTCACCATTTTTTCTTCATTGTTAACATTTATAGGAAGACGTAGGAAGGCGGAGTATATCAATGATTCATTCACAGTGATCTGAGGAGAGTGAATATCATTTTGTTCGCAGTAACCTAAAACTCTTGTAAATGTAGCTTGGTTCTTAGGATAACCAGAAACTCTTATCTCTCCTTTAATGTAACCAACATTCTTTCTTCCTGCCAAAATATCTAATAGAGTCGTCTTTCCTGCTCCGCTTACTCCCATTAGGGCGGTCAAGTTTCCAGGACGGAAAGCTCCAGTAATGTCCTTTAGCAGTTGGATCCTATCCTTAGCCTCCCCTTGGTTTTTAATGTCCTTAGAATCACAATTCGTTAGATTAGTCTTTGCTAAGAACTAGAATTAGAAGAAAACATAAAAGATAGAATTCCTTTTAAATTACTTAAAATATTGAATGCATGGTTATTCATAAAAGAATAGCTTATTCACTATCAATGAAATTGCAACTTTGTATCATTCATATAACAATTGTGGTTGAGAGGAATGAGATGACGTGAAATAAACTAAAAGAAAGAGAAATTTGTCAAAACATACCCCTCAACCTTTGCAAGTGGTCATTTTAGTCACAAAATCTATAAAACATTCAATTTAGTCCCCCATGAAAACTATTTTAGCCCCCATTAAAAACAATCTACCGACTAATTTAACATTTTTATAAACACTAAGACAAAAATGACCTCATCCAAATAATCAAGAAACTACTTTGGTTCTTTAATTATAAAAGAAGGGTTAGCAAATATAAAGCTCACCTGAGGCTTGTCGATAAAGTAATTTACATCACGAAAAGAAACTGTTAATGGTGTAAAAGGAAGAACCATCCCTCTCTTTGGAAGACTACTCCTTGGTGCATCGATACTTTCATATGAATGGCCCTTCTTCTGTAAACCCATCATTTCTCCTACACAAGGGATTTGATATGCTTGTTACACATAAAAAAATATATTTTATTCAATCCATAGTCCTTCCAAAGTTTTGCAGATAGGTGAGGAAATAATAGTATTAAATGTATCATACTTTTATTATCCTCATCATTTATAGGTAAAGCTTGAGGTGAAGAATCATTGTCAGCATTCACTATCATAACCTTCAATGTCTCCCTCATCTCTATATTTGCTTCCAAATTTGATGCTTTTGCATCTGATATAACTGCTTGGGGCGATTCAATGGCTATCAACAAACAATTAAGGAAAACCATATTAAGCTTTATCTAGTCCAGTTTCAAATTGAAAGGAAAGAAACGATGGTGAATAAACTTAGGTTGATGCTTACGCTTGAGATAGGTTAGTGCAAGAGTGAAAAAGACATTAAAAATGATTGCAGAGCCTAATAGAACACCAACACTAATCCAATACCACTTCTTTTCCGAGAAGACGTCAATAGTTTCTAGCACTTCCAAGCCTATGCTTTTACCGGGTGCCTGCAGATTTAGCCCGATCATTAACTCTATTATCAAAGACAATATATTAAAAAATAAGCCATGGGAGATACTTACAGATTTATTCATCCATCTTGGAGCTGAAAATTCGTTAACACATAGAGCAATATATCCATATGTGAGTGGTGAAACCCAATAACCCCACATCCAATACTTTGGTATTAAATCTGTATCATGAATACAAAGATATCAAGAGCTGAATATATATATATATATATATATAT